AAGCAAACTCTCAGAGTACTTTTGTTTACAAAGCTCCTCCAATCAGCACCGCAGCCAAGAAAAAAAAAAGCAGCTTTCCCACTGAAGTCTTTAACCAGTAGTCTCAAGCTTCAATCGCACAAGTACAGATTCAACAAAACTAAAGTCCAAAAAGAAAATGCACTTGTTTCATAAAAACACCCAATAATTCAGCCCTTCGAATCTTTGCTCAATATATAAATCCCAAAGTCCAAATCAGTTTTTTTAAGTGTTGAAAATATGAAAAGCTCCAAGAAGATACACTTATCTGTTGCCGAAAAAAGCCTCTCTTCATCTGAAATAATAATTAACTATTTAAAATGCGTTTTAGAAATGGGGAGGTCAGTTTTCGTTTCCTAAATTTCTGCTATGCCTCAGCCTTGAACAGAATGGAAAAGCCCCGTCTCCCACTCAGTGCGATCACAAAGTCTGCTTCAGTGTCTCCTCATGAGAAACAGCTGTCCAGAGAGCATATGGGTTGATTTCATGGATTCTCCTTTACATCTGGAGAATTCTTCAGGCTACAGGGATCCTGCCTTAGCCCCCGGACCTATGTCATTGATTCCCAAACAGAGGAATCGGTTAAGCTGTCATTAGTCCCACACCGGGTCTGGTCTATACCACAATTCCAACAAAAGCTCGCCTTTCCCCCTGCCGGACACAGGAAGGAGGCTGAGCCTTGGGGAACATCCAGCAGCCTGGCCTGGAACAGTGTGACCTCTTCCACACAAACATGGGTCTCCAGCAAACAAACAAAACAAATAGGCAAGTCCAAAACTAATGTGAATGGGAAAAGGAGCACCGTGATTTGCTAACGTGCACTGTAATGTTTTAAAAGCTCATAGTTGGAGAATGCCTTTGTCCATGAGAGATGATTCAGATTGAAAAGGAAAATATCACGATCTAGTTCAGCCATTGCTACTATACCTGTTGACCTGTGGGTACCAACCTTGCTTTTCTTCCCCTGCCCCGTGTTTGTACGTGATCCAGCAATTTACCTCTTTGACTCCATATTCGGTCTTCAGCAGTTGAAAGGATTTTAACAATTGCAGTGTCTGTAACAGAGGCATTTCACTTTAGCTCAGTGGATCATGTAGCATGAAAGAGTTGTCCCAGTTAAATGAGAGAGGAACAATTGCATGTGGAAATATCTCTTGATCTAGGGAGTCTCTCTGTTTCCTTTCACTTTATAATATGAAAATTGTGAAGATTACCTACAGCAATGGGCATGTGGTAGAGAGACTGAGTGGATTCCAGCCTCCTGGGTTTACTTATTAAACATTTTGGACCCTACCTTTCTGGCAAGCTCTTCAAGGCAAGGCAAGTCAGTACTGAGCCTCAGGGTTAGTGACCATGGTCTAGACGACAGATTTTTCTGATGTTTTGCTGGCAACTATGGCTGGCATCTTCAGAGGCAAGATTGTCTGCATAACTGTGGAGCCCCATCAGTGTAATGGGGTGTGAGAATCACCTTGGGAGGCAGGAGGAAGAGCCACAGCCAGGGCAAAGTTCAGATAAGAGATATCTCAGCCCACAACAGGGGGAGGAGAAAGCTCTCATAAGGGACCTCCCTAATTCTCTGGAAAGTAAAGGCAAGGAGGGGGAAAATGTATTCAGACTTGCAAGATTTTGTTGTTGTAACCTTAGAATAAAGGTAGTTTTTATTTATTTATTTAATTTAATTTATATGCCACCCATCTCTCCCAGAGGGTGACTGGGCAGCTCACAATATACAGTATTAGTACTCATGGTTTTGGTTTCCTGTCTGGACAACGTCGAAGGGCTGACAATCAGTCCCTGCTCAGTTGCCTGTGGTTTACCTAGACCACGGTCACTAAACCCTGAAGCTCAACACTGCCCAACATATACCAGTCGTGAAAGCCGAAACCAATATATTCTTTAAAGTAGCTTTGTGCATGTGCCTTCAGGTCAGTCTTGACTTCTAGTGACTACTTGGAGAAGTCCCTGCAGTCTTCTGGGTGACATTTTCAGATGTGTTTTGTCTTTGCCTTCTTCCTAGGACTGGCCCAAAGTCCCTCAGCTGGCTTTGGGTTTAAGGCAGGACTAGAACACAGAGTTACCCAATTTCTAACTTGGTGCCTTAAAGTACTTATAGTATATCAAGCTGGATCTTTAAAGGCATCTGACAATAGTCCAATAGTGCAAATAGGAAATACTTAAAGAGGTGCGTGTGTTGATTTGTGCATAGAGGGATAGTGATTTAAAAAGTGAAGGGTCATTTTTTGTAGAACTGGGAAAGAGCGAACTGCTTGGGAGAGTGAATTTGATCTACCGTGTGCCAATTTTCACACAAAACCTCTTTTCGCTTCTGGAACACAAAGGTTGGGACTAGTCAAGGACATGCTCTAAGAGCAGAAGACAACCACAATTTAACCTATCTGTATAACTGGGTTATCAACTCTGTTTTCTCATAATATTTTTGAATGGCCATTGTTACATACTGAGGAGCAACACTCAGACTAAGATATATACGAAAAGCACCACTTTAATGATTGTTCCTCCTTGCTTGTACTATTCACTTGAGTAATGCTTCTTCCTGGAGAGCCATAGCAGATAATACTCGCTTCCTGCCTTGTGCTCCTCTCCCTTTCAAAATCCCAGTGTGCCCTGAAGAAACACAGCCAAGCAGCCTTCAGGCAGGATGGCACCACGTTTCACACCTAAGAACCTTATGGCAGAGCCAGGATTGGCCGAGAGGGAAGCATTCAGCCAATGGAAATAAAGTGCTCTGGTTGTTGGGTAGACTAGCAGCTCGCCCAGCAAAGGTAGAATCCTCCTTGGAAATGCTTGGGGTAGGGTATAGGTGCGCCATGGTAAGAGGGGACACATATTTTCTAAGAGGCATGTAAAAGGGGTGGATCTTGCCTCTCATTTTGTTGGAAGCAAAGGGGTTGCTGAGAGGGGTCTTCCTGTAACAGAGTCCTGCGTTGGATTCGATCTACCTTCCTGACAGACATTAACTGCAAGGAATCAAAGCACAAGTCTTCCAAAAGGGGTTGATTCCTTTTTCCAAATTCCAGGTGGGACAGAATAGGTTACTCACTTTTCTTCCTCTTCTTTTTCTTCCTTCAGGTGCAAAGCCAGAATAAACCTGGTTCTGCCTTGATGAAAAGCGAAGGCCACCCCGCTTCCATTGCATGCAAAACCTGGACTGGTTATCATTGGGGGAGCAAAATGGGGACAGAGAGTAGCTTTCAATGATGGATTTTCTTCCCTAATATTCTTCCTCATATTGGGAGCTGGAATAGCTCCTTTGCCTCTGTCAGCCTTTGAGTTGGCCAAATCAGGAAACAGACTCCAAAGTGGACTACAATAATACTTGTACAATCTAGGCTGCAGTAACAGAACCTTCAAAGTTTCGTTGTTTTCCCTTCCCTCCTTCTTATATCAGACAGTCAGGGTAGAGCTAGTTTAAGTTGCATTAACAACCCCAGAGCTGTTCTGTCATAATGGTCTCAAATTTATTCAATGTTTTCCTGAAGATTTCCATCATTGGCAAGTAATTACATCTCTAAGAAAAAAAAAAGATAATCTGGAGATTGTTTCAAAAAATGAGAAAGGCACAGAACAAATTGAATAAGTGAAGAGGAATCAAAATGACCTTCCTGGTGTTTTGATTTTAGCATTCTTTTTAAGTTGTTTTTAAGTTGTACTTTTTGCTCCCATCTAAATTTACTCAAAGCATTTCTAGAAAGTGATCAATCCACCATGCTGAATTGTAAGTGGAGTAGGCGGCTCTATAAATCAATCAAATAAAAATAAAACAGAACAGGATGAAACATAAAATCAGATCAGACTTCCATGAAAAAATTGAGTTTTATGAAAGTTATACATTCATCAAATATGCCAAAGTAATAACAGATATTATAAACAGAATATCAAAGTGTTTAAAGAGAGTGAATAATGAACCCCTTTTTCAAAGAAAATAAACCTCTGTCTGGAGATATGAGACTTTTTGTATATAAAAAAACAAACGTATTATTAAACCAAATATCCCCATTTTATATATTTGGCCTCAGGATCATTATTAGGTGGTCCCATTTGAAAATCAGGGAAGATCTGAAAGACCAGGTTAGGGACAGACCATCATCGAAAAAAATCTATGTGGTCGCTAAGAGTCAACACTGACTTGATACATAATCAGTCAATTTAATAATCAGGCAGCCATCTTCTGTGCCAATAGCAGTTTGCAGACCATCTTCAATCGCATATGGATTGTACTGCAGAAATCTGGCTCTGAAGTTACAAAGGCCTTGAGATTTCATGCATATTAAGGAATTCTGCAATCGCTGTATCTTTTCCTTCATTCCATGCATTTTTGGGTCTTGACCTCATAATAACAGATTTGAAGTCTGCCTTTTTCCATGCCTTATTTCTAAATAGTTTGCTTTGTATGGAATAAAGTCACTGCAGCATTGGAAAGTTTTTCCATATCCCATTCATTTCTATGAATACTCCTAAAGATATGAATTAATCATCACCATGTTTAAAAAAGTAACATTA